AGAAAGGCATGAGCAACTCCTAGGAGGGACAATTTACTGAGGGCCTGTGCTAACACTGATGGTATTTAACTGATGTCAGGGCAAGTGTGGCTTGGGGTGTGTCCACACTGCAGATTGCAGAGCCTTGGCACTGACCCCTGCTCAGCCACAGTCGGTTTCTGCAGAGTGGCTGAGCCCCGAGCACAGGGCTGACAGCAGGGACCACTTCCAGCACCCCAGCAAGGCCAGTGTGCAGCTGCAGCTGGGACCCAGGGCATCCTGGGGGGAACACTTCCAAGAAGCCTTGGCCACCCAAAAGACAATGGAAGCCCTCAACTCCTCACTGAGATTAATTTTCCTTACCTGCAGCAGCCACAGGATCACAGATTCATGCAGTCTTAAAGAGTTGGAATGGACCTTAAAGCTTATCCAGTGCCACCCCTGCCATGGCAGGGACACCCCCCACTGTCCCAGGCTGCTCCAGCCCCAGTGTCCAGCCTGGCCTTGGGCACTGCCAGGGATCCAGGGGCAGCCACGGCTGCTCTGGGCACCTGTGCCAGGGCCTGCCCACCCTGCCAGGGAACAATTCCTAATTCCCAATATCCCATCCAGCCCTGCCCTCTGGCACTGGGAGCCATTCCCTGTGTCCTGTCACTGCAGCTCCTGAGGAATTGTCCCTCTCTGGGTTCCCTGCAGCCCCTGGAAGGAGCTGTGAGCTCTCCACACAACTTCTCCTGCCCAGGCTGAGCAGCCCCAGCCCTCCCAGCCTGGCACCACCCAGGAGGTGCTGCAGTCCCCTCAGCACCTCTGAGGCCTCACCTGGATTTGCTCCAACCGTTCCATGTCCTTCTTATACTGGGGTCACCAGAACTCCAGTCCAACAACATTAACTGACCAGATCCAGCCCTCACCTCACCTTGAGTGACATCCTTCCCTTCTCTGAAACAGGCACAAGCACATTTAGAAACAACTGCCACACTCAGGGCTTACTTTCCTGGGAATTGCTTTAACTCACCCCACCAGACACCCAATCCTTGCCAAAACCACATTTTATATGCAGTGTTTCTATTACATGCATGTCTTAATCACAGCAGAAACTCTTTTGCTTCGTGGAGCTTTAGTTTTTGCTGTGTGAGATTTGGATCACACCTTTTGTAGTAATTTTGCTGACTGATAAAAAGCCATAACACGTGTCTTGCTAAAAGAACAGTCACTGTAACTGCAGGAATAATTTCTGCCACTTACCAGGATATTATGACCCCGAACATTTCTCCACTTGGTCAACGGTTCCTTCAAAACCTGGTTAAAAATAATTACTCCACGTTAATTAAACACATCTTAGATTCAAGATACTTAATGTGACCATACAAGTGTACAACTATTTTTAAGGAATACTGTGCAGTAAATCAGAGTATTCAGGACTTGTATTGGAAAGCTCATCACACTCAAAAAACCAGCACTGAATTCTGTAATACAAAAGGTAATAATGAACACTACTAAAAATAGAGACAAGTCAATATCCAAAGTTTTCTTAGCATTTTTAAACACTGGTAAGACTACTCATAAGTCCGGGGAGAATTTTTTTTGAGTCAAAATCAGCTGTGTAAGGGAAAGAACAGCTTAGCATATACTTAGCATTTCAATGACAAGCCCATCCCCTCACAAATTAAGTTCTCTGAAAGTAACACTTGCCAGCAAAGCAAGAGGATCAGACTGCTACCACATCAGTTTTCATTTTATTTTTATGTTCTAACAAACAAAATGTATTCAAATCCTTTACAAAATGAATCAGAAAAGCTTCTACCCTGAACAGGTAAAATCACAAGAGACCTGCCTGGTTCAAATAGGGTCTAAATCTGCAATAATACTATAGAGTCAGGCCTAAGAGAATCTCATCAGCCTGGGAACTTAAGTAGCTACTTAACAATGCTGCACTGTATGCAAATTAAATTCTGTTATCCTCTGGATTAACAGTTAATTACTTCATAAGGATAATTCCTGTTAAATTACCAAATAACATCCAGCAACCCAGCATTCCTATGAGGACTCCTAAAACTTACTGCCAAATGTGTTGCCAGGTCTGTTGGGGAAAGCATTAATACCTGTTGTACAAGAACAATTGCTCACTGAGGTTTGACCTTGATTTTGTTTAAAATGCAACAAGCCTGCCCTTCCCCTAACCTGATTCTAAACAACACAAAATCAAATACCAGACGAGTCTCAGAAATCTCCTGAAACAGTTCTAACAGATTTTCCTTTTTTAAAAAAAGCCATCTGTTCACTGGGATCTCTGTTACATGGCATAGGTATTTTTACATAATATTTACTTTGCTTTTACCAGACCCATCTAAGATTTCAGTGACATAAAATGGCAAACAGGCAAGTCCAAACATGCCCATGCTCTGTGCGTTGCTGTTATTTTATAAAGGCACAAACACTGATTCACAGGTTTTATTGGTATTTTGGCATCCAGTACATACCACATGTGATCTACATTTCTCTGCTGCAATTGGACTTCAAAAAGTTGGGGTGGTGCCCCAGCAAGCCCCTGGCTCAGCCCCTGCTGCTCCCTCCTCACGCACCCAAGGACATGTTGGAGCTAAGACAAGCAGCTGCTCAGTGAAGGAAATAGGGACAAAGAAATGTGCATCCAGTACCTCAATGCTGGTAGTTTGTGCAAAATAATCCAGGCATGTTGTTTTTCCACTGGCAATGTTGCCCTCAATACAGATCTGGTGAAAAACAAGAGTCACTTTGAGACCCACACTGTGGCAGAGCAGTGACAGTGTGTTAGAAATGCCCCCTGTCCATTCCAGCTTGCCAGCTCTCCGTGCTGGGAAGAGATTATTTCATGGGGATCTGTTTGGACGTTGTGACTCTCCCAGACCACTGCTTTTTCCCCTCCCTGCTACTCCCACAGCCAGCCCCTCTTCTGCTTCCAGCCTCCTTCCCCTTCCCAGGACCCCAGGGGCTCCAGAGGGTCACCTGCTGCTCCTCACTCTCCACAACGCACTTCAGGGACCTGACTCCCAACTTCAAAAAAGTGCCAGCTGAAGTAGTAACTTCAGCATCCATTATATAGATAACTTCAAGGGGGATCACATTTTTATTTTCAGAAATCTAAACAACTAAAATAAACTAAGAGAATTTTTTTTTCAACAGTCTTAAAATAATTTATAGTCCATAGGGGGTTATATAAAGCAATGGCAAGGCTACACATGCAACACTGACCCCAAACTGCCACCTGTCCCGACACAAGGCCTCACAATTTTTGCACAGATGCCCCACAATTTAAAAAAAAATTTCAGAACTAACCAGCATAGCCTTGCACGAAGTATCACCCAGTGACAAACCCATCACGACACAGGGACACATCTATGGCCTATGGTTGCCAATACACACACACTCAATTTAAAATGGAATTACAATGAAAGAGGCTGCACTTTTTACTTTGCTTTCTGAACAAAATGCAAATACTTACAATTCTCTTTCCAGCATCTTTTTTTATCAGATGTTTATCTAGAATTGAAATAAACAACAGTTAAAATCAAAGCGGTCTCATAACCTAGTTACACTGAGTCTCTTACTGTGAGACCCTCTAGGCCAGTTTTAGGTTCCCCATGGCTTAATATGACTATTTTCTAAATTATCAGCCATCAAGGTTTTAGGTAATTATTGGGTCACGTAACAAACACATTGTGGCACCGACTGACAGAGATTTAGTTACAGTTCTCCACTATCCCCGACACTGTCAATAGTCCGAGGGTGAGTGCTCACACTATCACCAGATTTTTGCTACATCTGCTGCTCCTCAGTGGGTCTGCACAGGGGAAAAATGAATTTTGGAAAGACCAGCTGGAGTAGCACCCACTGGCCTCACACGCCCAGCGGGGTAAGGGTGAGGATTACAGAGCAGCTCCAAAACAAGCACCTTACACTTCAAAACAGCACAAAAAAACCTATCCAAGCCAAGCTGAGCTTACAAGACCCTTCACCCAGCCAAGCAGGAAGGAAGGCAGGGACGGGCTCGGCAGTCACCCCGGTCAGAGCTCCAGCCCGACCCCGCTGCTGCTGCCCCGGAGCCGCTCCGGCGCATCCCGAGGGCCGCAGGAAGCCGAAGCCGGGCCGGGCCGGGCCCCGCCCCGCACTTACGGTCGGCGGCGGCGCGGGGCGCGCCCGCCGAGGGGCCCGGGACGGCCCTGCCCGCGCCCCGCCGGCCCCACGCCCAGGCCGCGCCGCGCCGCCACATCGCCCATCCCGCGGCCGCCCGCCCGGCCCGGCCCGGCCCGGCCCGGCCCGGCCCTTCCGCCGCCGAGCCATCACTTCCTCCGCCCCGGCGCTCTGAGGCGGGCCTGCTGCAGCGCCGGCGACTGCC